CTCTCTCTCTCTCTCTCTCTCTCTCTCTCTCTCTCTCTCTCTCTCTCTCTCTCTCTCTCTCTCTCTCTCTCTCTCTCTCTCTCTTGCTCGCTCGCTTGCTCGCTCATGCGCGTGCGCGCACGCACACGACGTGGCATCGATCGAGGAACCGACAGAACAAAATTTAAAAAGCAGAAAAAGAAACACAAAGAAAAAGAAAAACTGAGCACATGCACACACACACACATGGCGGATTAACTCACCTTCATTCATGGCGGCCCGGTCGTTGTTAAGACTCCACACAATGAACAGCCCAATCCTCAGCGTCTTCACCCTTCACGATGCAGAGCCCAACCTCCAGCAACAGCTTCGCGACCACATGTCCGCACAAACCGCGCTCGAAAATGTACTCCTGATGTGACGAGTGTCTGTATATACGTGTGTCTGTGTACGTGTGCGCGTGATGAGTGTGTGTATTTGTAGCGTAGGGAGTCGAGAGTTCAAGCAGCCAGTGGAGAGTCCTCTCTCTCTCACACACACACACACACACGTGTCCGAGTGCAGTGAAGGGTTGTAGACGGTCCGAGTAGCCAGTAGAGTCTCCAGCGTCGCATAGAATGCAGAGCAGCGAGTCAAGGGTCAAGCGTGGGCCCCGTGCCACTACCGGTAGCAGCGTTGTCGTTGTAGGCTCTACAATCTACAACGCTGCGACATCCGGCGCGGAGGCTGGAAACACATCATATAGATTTAGGGCCTTGATTTCCTCCTTTTTTTTTTGAAGGGTTGTTTGGCTCTTCAGGCCTCGAGGTGTATCTCATTTAGGTGGTTCCGGTTTGTGTGGTTTCTCTGACCGTGAGGTGCTGTTTCTTAGATGGTGGTGGTCCTGGTTGGTATGGTAATTTTCAGGCCTGAGGCACTTTTATTTTCAGGCCTGAGGCACTTCCATTTTCGGGGAAAGTCATAAAACCTCCCAGCGACGGAACATTTGTATCCACTCCCCTCCAAATGGGGAAAAAGTGCCGCCGGCCCCAAAATCACCTTCGGTGTGATTTTTCTACTCTGCAAAACACTTTCTCGTCATTTTTACGCAGCGGCCATTACCGGCCCAGATAAAATTCGAATAAACTGCACATTTTCTATTCGAGAATGTACAGTTGCAAGGGCATGTAGCCTTTTTCGAAAAAGGCTTCAGGACCGCAGCGTCAATTTCTCTTCATTTGTATCCACATTTTCTATTCGAGGAAACTGTGGTATTCGAGAAAAGTGCACCCACACCGTTTCAATTTCGAAAAAGGCTTCAGGACCGCGGCCTCCTCAGCCTCCTCCGCGCAGCTACCGGTCCTACGCGGTCCTGGCCCTTGCAAGAGAGAGAGAGAGAGAGAGAGGGAGAGAGTGTGCGTGCAAGTGTGTGTGCGTGCGTGTTTGTGTGTGTGTGTTTGTGTGCGTGTGTGTATGATATATATATATATATAGAGAGAGAGAGAGAGAGAGAGTGCGCGTGCGTGTGTGTGTGTGTGCGTGTTTGTGTGTGTGTATTTGTGTGTGTGTGTGTGAGATATATATATATATATATAGAGAGAGAGAGAGAGTGTGTGTGTGTGTGTGCGTGTGTTTGTGTGTGTGTGTGTGTGTATGTGTGTGTGTGT